CCTTGACCCCGCGGACCACCCGGCCCGGCCCTCGCACCTCCCGGTCCACCCGCGCCTTGCCCGCCCGATCTGTAACCTCCTGGAGGTCCGCCCGGACGTCGTGGTGGTCCTCGAGGCGGCATCGACCCGGCAGCCCGTTGCGGCGCCTTGCCCGCTGGCGTGCCCGCTGACGCGCTTTCGATCGTCGGGATCTCCATGTCGTCAATCTCGACTCGGGCCAACGACGCTCGTCGACGCGCTCCGTTGGCCGACGATCCATCGCTCGAGGCGGCGACTTCAGAGTGCTCGAAAAAGTCGGTCGCAGGTTGGCTCGACGCGACGTTGACCTTGGGCTTTGAGGCGTATGCGTCGCGTCGCTGGGCCTGGTATGTCAGTCTTGTCTCGCACGGCCAGGCGCGGCTGGCATGATTTGCTCTTGTGGACATACGCGGGGAGGTGGCCTTGGACCGGAGCGCGTGCGCGAGGCAGGGTCGGCTGATCGAGATTTTCCAGTAGAGTCCAGGCTCAGGTCAATGTTCCCTCCTCCTCGGGTCGGCAGGTCTATCTTGCCCAAGTCTCTGACTCTTGTAGCATTCCGGTTTCCGAATCCGAGATCGACGGCCGAGCGGGGTTTAGGAGGCGCTGGGGAGGTGGCATCGGCCTGCCGTCGAGAGGTGGAGGAGTGCATGGACCTGACTCCGAGGATGGATCGGATGGGACGTATTCGTAAGGACATTGTGCGAGAGGTGTAGGTGGTGGTATGGCCAGGTGCGAGTTGGAAATGTCCAGGCCGGAGGAGAGACGACGAGGTAGAGGGCGAGTGAGGGCGAGTGAGGGTGAGTTCGGACGGTGACTTTGTGGGATAAAATGATTAAATGGATATTAGATTTATTATTATCATACCACTCTCTACACCATCAGCACTCGCTCCTCTTCCACCTACAACCTCTATACATCTCCTAGTAGACCTCACCTACACCCCGGGTTGTCGACATTCATCTACACACCCGGTACCTCTCTCCTCTCACCAAACACCCCCCCCCCCACCCCCGCCCCTTACCGAACCCCAAAATGTCGACAGAAGATTACGACGGTCAGTCATCCCGGGACCTCAGCTCAACGCGTCACCAGCTGACCCCGCAGAGTTCGGAAACTACATCGGAGGCGACCTGGAATCTGACGACGAGTCGGACTACGATGTCGCCCCCTCGGCACCGGCCCCTGCGCCTTCCGCTCCAGGCCCATCTCAACCGAGCGCAGCTTACGCCCCGCTGGAAGGCTTGGAGGAGGAGGACGAGGCGATGGAGGATGAGGAACCGGGATTGGAGATGACTCTTCACGGCGTGGACGGTTAGCATCGCGCATCGCGCTTTTGACTTTACAGTAGGCTCTGGTGACTGATGATCCAGGGACGGCTGGGAACCAAGTGGTTCTGCACGAAGACAAACGGTACTATGCTTCGGCAGCGGAAGTCTACGGGGAGGACGTCGAGGCGATGGTCCAAGAGGAGGACGCCCAGCTGCTCTCAGAGCCCATCGTCGCGCCCATCAAGGTCCGCAACTTTACAGTGCAAGAAAAGGGTCTCCCGACTACCCGGTTCGACCGAAAGTGAGTCACTGCCGACGCCTCATTGCGAATGCAGACTCATTGGACAGCTTCATGATCGACATGATGGCTTACCCTTCCATGATCCGAAACGTCATGGTCGCTGGACATATCCACCACGGAAAGACCTCGCTGCTGGACATGCTAGTGTTTGAGACTCATCAACTGACTTATGATGCCGACCAACCTGTAAGCTTCGATTGCCCTCCCATTGCTAATCTGCCAGACCCGATACACCGACACTCACACCCTGGCCCGCCAACGAGGCGTCTCGATAAAAGCCGGCCCCATGTCTTTGATCCTGCCCAACTCGAAGGGCAAGTCGACACTGGTCAACATGATCGACACGCCCGGTCACGTCAACTTTGTGGACGAGGTCGCATCGGTCGCCCGGTTGGTGGACGGTGTGGTGGTCGTGGTGGACGTGGTGGAGGGTGTGATGCACGGCACGGAAGCTGTCATCCGACACGCCATGCAGGAAAAGCTGAAGATTGTCTTGGTCGTCAACAAGATGGACCGGTTGATCCTGGAGTTGCGTCTGCCTCCGAGCGAAGCGTTTTTCAAAATCAAGCATACCATTGAAGAGGTCAACTCGTTTATTGCGTGAGTGTCGACTTTGTCTGCCCCCCCGAGGCTCCAGCTGAAGCCCCAGCTCGATCGATCCCGACGACTCGTACCGCCTCTCTCCTGAACGGGGCAACGTCGCTTTCGCTTCGACTCAGATGGGTTGGTGCTTTACTCTGCGCACCTTTGCCTCGATGTACTCGGATACCTATGGCTCTTTCGACGTCGACGAGTTTGCCGTGAGATTATGGGGCAACATCTTCTTCGACGCCGAGCGAAGAAAGTTCACCCGAAAGCCGGCCGATGTGGAAACGAAACGATCGTTTGTCCACTTTATCCTGGAGCCTCTGTACAAGCTCTACACTCAGGTGTGTGCCTTTCCACATCACCCGGCGACTTTTCACTGACCCCACCAGGTGTTGAGTGAAGACTCGGCCACGCTGAAAGAGACTCTGGCGGACCTGCGCATCACCCTCAAACCTGCTGTTTACAAAATGGACACGAGACCTTTGCTCAAGGTCGTCCTCGAGGCGTTCTTCGGACCCTCGCTTGGTCTGGTCGACATGATCACCGAGTTTATCCCGTCTCCAGTGGACAATGCGGCTGAAAAGGTGAGATTGCATCAGACGGCATGGACGCTTACGATCAGATCCGAGGAACTTACACCGGACCTTTGACTTCCGACTTGGCCGACTCGATGGTCAAGTGCGACCCAGAGGGACCCACTGTCGTCCACGTCACCAAGCTGTTCCACACGAGCGACGCGCAAGACTTTAGGGCATTTGGAAGGGTGATGAGCGGAACGGTCCGGCGGGGTCAGAGCGTCAAGGTCTTGGGAGAGGGATACTCGTTGGAGGACGAGGAGGATATGGTCAACGCGGTGGTAGAGTCTCTGCTGATCGACGAGTCGAGGTGAGCGACATGGGTCTTTGAAGTTTCTCAGCAGTCGCTGAGATCAGGTACACTGTCGACATTGAGCGAGCGGGCGCCGGTAACCTCGTGCTCTTGTCTGGTGTCGACGCGTCGATAACGAAAACCGCTACGATTGTCGCCAAGGACATTGAGGACGACTTGTACATCTTCCGACCGATCAAGCACATGACCGCGCCGGTCCTCAAGGTCGCGGTGGAGCCGATCACCCCGTCTGAACTGCCGAAAATGCTCGATGGCTTGCGGAAAATCAACAAGTCGTACCCCCTGGTCACCACCAAGGTTGAAGAGTCGGGTGAACACATCATCTTGGGCACTGGCGAGCTGTACATGGACTGTGTCTTGCACGATCTGCGAAGGTTGTTTTCGGAGATTGAAATCAAGGTGTCTGACCCCGTCACCAAGTTCTGCGAGACGGTCGTCGAGACCTCGGCGTTGAAGTGTTACGCCGAGACCCCTAACAAAAAGTGGGTTGACCTTACCCAGAGCCGTGTGCTGATCGTCTTTAGGAACAGGATCACCATGATCTCTGAGCCTTTGGAAAACGGAATTGCCAATGATATCGAAGCGGGTCGGGTCACCATGCGTATGACCAACAAGGAGCGAGGAAAGGTTTTCGAAAACAAGTATCAATGGGATTTGCTTGCGTCGAGGAACATCTGGGCGTTTGGGCCGGACGACAGCGGCCCGAACGTCTTGGTCAACGACACTTTGCCCTCCGAGGTGAGCCGCCACTTTCGATCAGGAGCGATCGAGCTGACAGTCAGGTCGACACGAAACTGCTGGGAGCGACGCGAGAGTCGATCAAGCAAGGTTTCCAATGGGGCACCCGCGAGGGTCCGTTGTGTGACGAGCGTAAGTGTTGCTACAGACGCAGCACGGACAAGGACTAATGACAAGCGATCCGGGGTGTCAAGTTTAGAATACTAGATGCCAGTCTGGCCCAGGAGCCAATATACCGAGGCGGTGGACAAATCATCCCCACCGCCCGACGAGTCTGCTACTCTTCCTTCCTTTTGGTACGTGGACCCGGTGTGAGTTCGCACAAAAAGCTAACCGCGCAGGCCACACCGAGATTGCTCGAGCCCGTCTACTACGTCGAGGTCCAGGCGCCCGCCGATTGCGTCGCTGCCGTCTACACCGTCCTCTCCCGTCGTCGAGGTCACGTCACGCGGGATCTCCCGAAACCCGGCTCCCCGCTGTACACTGTCAAGGCGTTTATTCCGGTCCTCGATGCGAATGGGTTTGAGACGGACCTTCGTACGGCCACGCTCGGTCAAGCCTTTTGTCAGATGAGCTTTGACCACTGGTCGACAGTGCCGGGCGACCCGACTGACACGTCGATCCAACTGCGACCGCTCGAGCCGGCGCCGGCGCAGCATCTCGCGAGGGATCTGGTGTTGAAGACGAGGAGACGCAAGGGACTGAGCGATTCGATCGCCGTGAGCAAGTACCTGGAGGACGAGACGATTATCGCGATTAGCGCGTCGGGCAACGCGGATCTGCTGGGTTAGGGTCGGCACGGGAGAGGGGACGTTGCGCAGAAGAGCATGGGTGGATTAGCATAGTGACTTTTCTGCATGCGAATTGTAATCCTCCGAGGGGAGAGAAGCACGTCCAGCGAGGCCCGCGTGGTGGGCGAGATTTTGGTCATCAGATAGGTCCAGCACTGACTGCGGAGCACAAAGCAGTACAGCGTTACCAAGGCACGAGGTATGACTCAAGGACAGTTGTTATGCAGACGCCTCCCCCCGCGTTGCCGGGTCGTCCAGGTGATCAGACGTGCTCCACTTGCAATGTTGCCGACCAGCGCCCACCCCGGGCTTCCCAGATCCAAGGCGCGCGCAAAAGGACCAAAAAGTAACTTCTGGATCTGGATTTCGAACCCGGGAGAAAGATCTCCCGGCCCAGCAAAAAGGTAGTTCTGGATCGGGGAATCGAACCCCGCTCTACCGCGTGAGAGGCGGTTATACTAGCCGATATACTAATCCAGATGATACTGGAGTTGTTGAGTACTACATTCGAACACGAATATATACCCTATTCAGCCAGGGTGGCGATTGTGCAAAAACTCATGACGTGGCCGTTAAGTCGCGCCGAACCGCTGACCCGCCCAGATCGACCCCGCCGAGAGTCAAGACCGTCATCCAGCAAAAAAGAGATGTTGTGTTCGATCGTACTGATCGCATGGCATTGTAAGAACAGCCACAGGGGATTGAACCCTGGATCTACAGATTGTCTCTGAACAAACGTCGAAGTCTGTCGCCTTACCACTGGGCCATGGCTGCTATCTTGTTGTATGATTTCAGAAATCTTGTCAAAATTATGAACCCTGCGGCAGAAGCGAAAATCCCTGAGGGATCGTTTACGCACCCGATCTGTCGGCGCCCACCATTGGCTCGTACAAGATCTGTCTAGGGCGAGGGACGCAGCAGATCCCTAAGGGGGGTTAAGGTGGGTGCATGCGTGGGTTCATGACAGCTTCAGGACATGCCAGAGCCGCGGCACCGGAACCCACCGAGCCCATCGTCTTCACGCGGCTGTTTTTCTCCCATAATCGAGCTTCCACTTAAGCGCCTGTCGACTGATAGCCGGTGTTTTAATGATACACTCCTCCTTCTGCTCCTGCTTCTCCATCACCTTAAGCCAACTCGATGTACCATGCTTAGCATCAGGACGCTTCTGGTGCAGGGCAACGACTCGGCATCATACCTCGCCCGCACACAGTCCCGTCGTGAACGTTGACCTCGGCGATGACCGCTCCCACTCCGCTCGCTGCTCGCTCGTAGCTTGTTCGGATGATCCCCCACTCTCCTTGCGCATTGCACATTCCCCCACCCGACTTCCTCAATGGGTCTGCCTCGCCTCGTACGACTCTGTCCGCTATTCGCTCCCCGAGGGTTTCCCTCAGCATCCCGCGCTTACAACTTTCGTCATCAGTGAGACCCTTCGCGCGAACCCACGGGCGGGCAGGATTGACAGCGGAAAAGATCGAGACGGGCCATTCTCTGCCTCTGAAAGGCAGCGATGGCTATGTGCACGTTCTACAGCATTCACATATCATTCCAGCACTTGTGAATACGACCATCAACGTCTTGCTTGGGACACGGGTCGAACCGCTGACCGTCCTCATCATCCAACCCCTCCTTTCGCCTCGCGATGCGCGTACGCTAGCCGATCCGTCACACAATAGTCGTCCCAGCTCGACCTGATGACGTACAGCCACTCTCTCACCCTCTCCCGCTAATTGAAAATCGGTTCAAACACGGCTGTCGAGCTGAGCAAAGGCGCAAGGCTTCACCACCTATTCAACACTTTGATCCACGACGTAATCCGCTTACCCCCCTTCGGCATCGCAGCCGAACAGATCGCTATCGTCGCACATTTCTATTCACAGCTTCGTGCTTCCCCGAGACCAGTCACGGGAACCGAGAAGCATACAATAACGGCGGGAGCCCAGCGATTACTCCTCCCCCTTCGCTCCACCATGTCCTTTCGTCGCATCCGCCATGGTTCAATCAATCACGGTCGACGTGGGCGCGGGATCGCGTTTTTCACATCCCCAAGGATTTCACAGCCCCAAAGACGTGCTCAAAACCCCTCGCCGAGGTCCCAGGTTCGCCCTATTTAAACAGCCATTCCGGGACCCAAATCCCAACATCCAACCTCTTCTTTCTCAACTCGAATCCCCCCCCCCAAACTTGGAATTCGACCTTGGTCGTCTCTCTCGACCAACTCCATCTTGACCCACCCCCCTCTTGACGACCGACCAACCTTGACGACAACCCCAACCTACCTTGGCCGTCAACAACCTCCCCTGTCGCCACTACCCTCTCGTCGTCGACCCAACCTCTGTCGACATCACTCTCTCGTCAATCATCATGGGAGTGGGGACACCTTGACCCTCGGGGCCTCATGGGTGGACGAAGCATCGGTAAGTAACATACCTTTACCACACTGCACATCGGACCCTAACATCATCAGTCAAACACACAAAAACCAAACACGCTCGTCGTCGTCGATCCAATCAAAACACTCATGGTCCACGTCCCTCGAGCCGACAATCCCGCTTCCCCATCCTCGATCGATCGAATCTTCCTCGTCGCCGCCGACAGGTGAAATAAAAAACACGACCATCCTCGTCGCCGCCGATCGAGCCGACCGATCAACCCTCCCTCGTCACGCTCAGCGCAGGGAGTGGTGGCTCGGATGAGCACAGCGTCGGTGAGTACATTGACAAGTGTCCATCAGTACTAGCTGACATCCCCCTCAGTCTTCGGCGGCCCTCGGGAGGGAAACCAAAACAACAACTCCCCTGTCGCCACCGGTCGTTCAGACTTGCGCTCGTAGCCGACTCATGTGTGTACAACACCCCATCTACAAACAGGCAAGCCGATCGAGTCTCCTTCGTCGCATTGGACCTCGGAGCGGACACGCTGTTCCCCCCATGGGGGTGCTAGGTTTATCGAAGCGTCGGGTAAGTACTTGCCCTTGCCATCAATGATCAGACACTGACGCGATCAGTCATCGGGGTAATCCTCACCCTTCGAGCTCTTGTCGCTGGGACTCCCGATGCCCCCCGCCCCTCATCGGGGCGGCACTCGCTCGATAACGTAACGCTACTGGTAAAGGAGGCGTTGGTGAGTCCTGCGCCCTGGTCTCTAGTATCGAAGACTGATGTCAGTCATTGGGGTCGAGCCTCCCTGCAGCCTTTGGTTCGCAGGTTGAGGCTCCTCCAGCCCTTCCAGGGGAGGGGGTTTGACACGCTGGAATTTTCTCGGTTCCCCTCTAGGGCCGAGCTGGTATTTACAAAGGGTATACTTGTCGGTGGGGTCGTTAGCCAATCCCGGGCCTTTGGGACCGCATGGACAGGCTCCCCCATTGTACAGTGTCCTTTTGGATTGGTATTTACAAAGGGTATACTCGTCGGTGGGGTCGTTAGCCAATCCCGGGCCTTCGGGACCGCATGGACAGGCTCCCCCATTGTACAGTGTCCCTTTGGATTGGTATTTACAAAGGGTCCACCGCCCAGCGGCTCTTTGGATCATTGTCGCTCTCTCTGAGATGCGCCGGGCGGAAAGTTTTTAGTGGGTATGGCCGCCCGCGGTCGAGTCCCACATTGGGGCATTCATGCTTTGCGTGGGTGTCTGCATGCGTAACAGCATTTTCTTTCCTTAAAAAAAAAAAAAAAAAAGAAAGAACTAGGGCCTATCTGTATACTAAAGTGCTCGCGGAGCTACAACACTCGTTGAAAGCGATCCTACCGAAACGGAACACCACGTAGGATCGCTAGCATCGGTAGATACTTGTGATACTCTGAATCGGACGTCATAGACTAACCAGCGGCGACCGAGTCAGTGTCTCTGATGCGGTACCCGGAGCCCAGCGAGATCGATCAAGTATCGTCCAAGACATCGTCCTCTGATGCGTGCTGACCATTGCTGCGCCCCGGGGACCGACATCCCGACCGCAGGGGTCTGGCCGCAACACGAAGCATTGGTTGTCTAAGACCGGGTCAATGATCTTACGCTTGACGTCTTCATCGTCTATGAACGTCTTCCCCCTCGCGCTATGGAGCGGAAGACGGACGTCGAGCGGCAAGGGCAACCTCGGACGAGGCTTGCCGATTGCGGCTTCAGTCCACTCCTGATCGCAGAGCTGGAGTATATGTCACGACGAGGCATGCACGTTCGTCGGGCGAGAGAGACCACCGGCGTAGTGAGCCTGGTGTCAAGATCAGTACGGGAAGATCGACTCTGGGGGCTCGCTGGCCGATGACAGGGTGCGGGCCGTAGGGGGGCAGGACACTGCGGGGCAAGAGTCTGGCAAGGACAGCGACAGAGTCGCGCGAGCCTAGACACCGGGCCTATATGCGCGCGAAGATGAGACACCGAGTCGCATGAGGACCGACACGTGCGAGGCAGCTAGTCGTTCCACAGCTTCCAACCCGTGCTTCCCCTTCCCTCGCTATGCAGATCAGCAGTGTCCTCCAGCCATATCTCATGTACCACGCATGTCCCAGGTCCGGTCAGTCGTAGCCGAACACCGACATGGTCGGGGAATATGCAATGTCACTCACTATGTTTAGCGAAGTCCGACCCTGGGTCGAAATGCGGAGAACCCACTCGCCTCGCTTCTCCTCTTAATCTTCCGTGAGCCAAAAACATATCCAAAACATGACACAGATGGACTCTGCGCAGGACTCGGACAGCAAAGCTAGGCTGCAGTAGACGGGAGTGCATCTCAGAATGCATGCAGTCCATCAGGACGCGCGACTCGACGCCTCGGCGCCGTTTGACCACACCCCTTCCCCCCCGTCCCTACTCTCCCCTCGCTACGATAGCGAGCACGCCTTTCAACCCCCAAAAAGCAAGGTATAGCTGCCCCGTGCGGGATCGAACCGCAGACCTTTCGATGCACTACGTTACCGCAATAACAGTCGAACGCTCTACCAACGGAGCTCCAAGGCAAGGACCGTTTAAACAACGATTGGAGACAAATCGGCGACGACGAATTTCGGCTTCGAGCGCAGGATTGTAACCCGACAGCGTCGACAGAGCGTTCATCTATCGATTTTGAGGCGATCATGCGTGGGTACAGAACCCGTCAGATGGCAACGAGACTGGTCCCAAGACTGAGCGAGCCGGTGACTTTGACTTGTTACGGAGATGGCATGTGCATTGGCATCGCGCGATAAAGACATACAAGCTCGTGCCTGACACCCGAGCCGGTTGTGACTTCTTGATGTCACGCGCTGTCGGTTGAAGGACGGGTTGTGTCGCAAGTACTGCAAGGAAGGACAGAGACGTGCAAATGCATGTCAATACTCGGGGGATGAGAGAGAAAAAAGATTTGGGGCGGGATGATCGAAGAAAGCACAAAAAAAACACAAAAAAGGTTTACTGCCCCGTGCGGGATCGAACCGCAGACCTTTCGATGTACCACGTAAACGTAATAACAGTCGAACGCTCTACCGACGGAGCTCCAAGGCATGACCCGTTGATACAACGGTTGGAGATGTCGATGTCGAAGTGATTTCGCGTCTAATATATAGCCAAGAGCACACTGGACTCCTCTTCGTATCTGTGGCCCGCCGAGCTTGCTATTCTCTATGGTGCGGGCCGCTAATCAGTCTCATGTGAAACCTTGTACCGGCTCCTGGCTTGGTGCATATGAGCGATGGCGAGGACTTGAGGTACAGAGCCGTTCCTCGCTTGACAGCGAGTGATGGAACGACGAGTACTCCGTCGTGCGAATAGGATCTCTGAAGCAAGAGGATCAGTACCCTGTCTCTCCCATCGACATGGAGAAAGATCGTGGTGCTCTCAATTGATTGGACTTCCCTCTCCCCCTCTCCCCCTCCCCCTCCCCTCCCTCTCCCGGCCCCACGTACAAGAGAGGATTTGCGTTGTCTTGCCTTTTGGACGGCAAATCCTTGGGACCTCAATTTCCACCTGTGACACCCACCTGTGACAGGGGGAAGAGACGACTGCTCGGATAGGGTATCCTTGGACCAAGAACTGATCCCACAAATGGAGCAAATACCTCGAACTCTCGGTTGGATTCCAGGACAGCTAAGGGCGTGACCGCTTCGTCAGGAGTGGAAGGGCGGGTAGCTGTGCCCTTGTCCCGCCTGAAGAAAAGTCTGCGTGGGGCGGCCAAGCCCATGTCACAGCCTCCCCTGTTCCAGCCCATGACCTACTGCTCTGGCATGCCCAAGCTGCTCACGCCGAGCCTCGGACCGTATACAACCTGCTCCTTCCTCTCGCCACAGGCCGTCTCCATGCGGGGCGAGACTGCCGAGTCCCCTCAGCGCGTGCAAACGCTTACGCCGACTCCTTTCTCTGACAACCCGCATTGATCCACCACTCTGATGCTGAACGCGCCGGGAGTGTGGATGTTGACGAATGCATTGCAAATATATGTGCACGAAAATGACCCCTACCTTGACAGCTTGATCTTCTGCAGACCCTCCGCCAGCCTCTTCATCTCGTCCTGCAGCGCCGCGACGCCGACCTGCACACTCTTTTCATCCTTCTCCACACCGTCCTTGGCCGCGGCCACCACTCGATCCAACAAGTTCCAAGGGGTATCACTCGCGTCGGCCTTCTTTGGCAACAGCTCTGGGGGTGTTTGCTGTTGGATGTCAGCGGTTGATCTGCCAACTTTTGATCGCCTGCAAATCACCTTTCGAAGCAGATCCAAAGACCACTCCACAGCTTCCTTGACCCAGCCCCACCTCAAAGCTCTCGATATCCACCCGGCAGGATCCCGCTCCATCTCCCATTCCACCAGCCACCCGGGCATCTTCCATCCCGAGTGCATATCCTTGTTCTGGGAGAACAGCTCGTCGGCGACGATCTCTCTATACTTGAAATTGGTCTGCGCCGAATCGTGACGTTCCAGTGCGTTCTGCAGATACCGCATCGCCAAAGCCGAGGGCGGGCCTTGGAGATGAGCCGTGACCGACGATTTGTACAGCCACGAGGAGGACGGGGCGTCGATATCCCTGTCATTGTCCGGTTGCGTGAGCCGCACACATCGGTCGGAGAGGACAGTGAAGAATCCAGAGAGATCGACGTTGGCACCGGCGGCCGAAGCTTGAGCCTCGTCAAACATCCCTCGCTGGACAAACAACCCGACCAGCTCTTCGGCTTCCAGCGGCACACCACCTGGACTGTCAGCGTCGGGAACGACGAGTAGCCTATGTACTCACTGATGTCGAAGAACCCTGGGAGGACACTGGCTAGTTGCAACCTGGCGAGCACGGCTGCGTATTCTGCTCGCACGTCTGCGAGCGTGACAATTTCCATAACCCCTTTATCTTGCTCGAATTCCTCCTCGGGTATATACGAAGTCACTCTTCGACGCTTGGCTCCCTAGTCGTCAGATTTGGACGGACAGACAAGTGATAGGCCGTACCCTTGTATGCGCTTCGCGAGGCAGAGGGTTCGCCAACCACGCTTGTCGCTTATCAAGCAGAGACAAGGCGTTGATAGCCGCGAGATAGCTGCTGGCCTGCTTGATCCCCACGTCATACGGCGAAAAGTCCTTGCTCTTTCGCGATCCCTCTAGTCGCTTTGCCTGCTGATACATCACGTCCGCAGCTTGCATAAGCGTAATGCGACAAGAGGCTTAGAGACCACTGACCACTTCGATAATCGCCACGGGTGACGTGCCACGAGTACAACACTTGGTGATAATGCGGCGGTCGCAACGGGTCAGAGTGTCTCGCCTTGAACTGCAAGAGGCTCTCGACTTCTTTCTGGAATCCGACGAAACCAAACTTGAGCAGCTCGCCAACCTGGTTCGCCTCGCACATGGTCGAGATGAGCTGACCCAGGAAATCCCGTTTTCTGCAATGTCAGCCACGCAAGCTCACGCTCACCCGCCACAGGTGCTTACAATTCAGGATGAGGGGTGCTCGTGAGCGTGACATAGGCCTCGTCGAACGCTCCAGTCGACATGGAAGCGAGGAACACTTTTGTCCAGATATCTTTGACCGACTCGTCGCCTTCTGAGGTCGACTGAAGCGCGAGCTTGCCGAAACGGACGATGGGTTCCTCGACGCCTCGGTCCTCGAAGAGCTTCGCAACGTGCCGGTAATACAGCGCCAAGGCGGCCGGCGTTCCCATGCCCGGGATGATCGACGCCAGAGTCTTGTCTCGGTATCCCGAAGCCGCCTTTTCAAAGTGCGCAACGGCCTCTTCAATGTCTCCCAGGTCGAGGTAAGCCCTGGCTCGCACGTAGAACATCCCTGCAGAGTCGGGGTAGAAAGTGGTCATCGTTCCGGCAACCGTCGGATGGCCATCGTCGAGAACATCAAAGGCTAATCGTACGTCCTTCTCCAGCGGGACGTTGTCCCATAAACCATTATACAGCGACAGGATCGAGGAGAGGAATGCGGTGGTCGCACCCGCGATTTCTCCCAGTGAACTCTCTTGTACGTCTTGCGCCAGATTATGGGACAACAGCGAGTGAAGCAGGGAGTATGCCGTCTCGTAGTCGTCGGAATCGACACCATCCTCTCCAGCCCGAGATTTGGCGGAGACCGTCCCCTCAGACACGGTGTCATCACCTCGCCTCTTGCCTGCCTTTGATCCTTTCCGGTTACGGGCTTCGTCTGCTGCTTGCTCCGAGACAAAGTCGAGGACGCGATATCGCTGGTACGTCGTGAACGCTCGGTAGAGTAGGTGTATGCAGTCCTCGCTGTCCTGCGTGACGCCGTGCACATCTCCCGACTCGATCAGGTTGAGGATGGCAATCAAGAGTATATTGCGCGCGAGACGGTATCGGCTCTGGATCGCGGAGGCGATGCTCGCTGCAAGCAGTGCGTTGCCCATTCCGGAGAACCGAAGGCGGTCATCGGCAGCTTGCAACAGCGCGCTGTGAGTGCTGGCGAGCAGGTCGAGCAAGTCAGACAGGCCCTGAGGAAGGTGACAGCATTCGGACAAGAGTCGCCTTGTTGCCGCTTGATCGTCCTCTGAGAGGTATGGGGCGATATCGTTGTCCCACAGCTCCGTGGCAAACGATTCGGCTCCCTGAGAGAACGGCCGAGCGACGTATCCATTGACGTGGTCCACGATCACCTCGAGTGCCGAGCCGTCATGTTCATTGTGACCGGTTTTGGATAGTACCCCGGCAAGATGGGTTCCAGCGGCGGAGATGGCAACGGAGCTAGATCGGCTTGACGGCGCGGCGAGGGCGGGGAACAAATGCTGAAGCGATGCCTGAGGAAGCTCCAAGAAGCGCTCAGCTTCGTCTCCCAGTTGGCCCAGACGATCAACCACTGCACAAGCGTCTTGAGGCACGAGAGCGGAGACGCCTTCACGTGTCACAACGACTAATTGGTCCTCCACAACGACGGTACCCAACGGCCATCTGGCCCCAGTGTCGAGATTCCTCACACGGGCCCAGATTCCAAGCCACTGCAATTTAAGCTTGTTTCGGTATTCCTGCACTTCCGGTGCGCCCGTCTGCGGGTTCTCGTCCATCTCCAAGTCGCAGCCGATGATTCTTTCATACTTCTTGGCGAGGGATGCAAACGACTGACCAATCTCAGCGTAGGCCTTGTTGCGCGGTAATTGTCCGATATACTCCTCCAGCGCGGTCGTCAAGCTCAGGACAGAGAAGCGGCCCGGATAGAACAGATGACTGATGAATGTCTGGCCGATATCACCATTCTCCATGGGCGCCGTCGCATCTGGAGGGTCGAGGCTGAGGAGATTGTCAAAGTACGCAGTGTCGAACGTCGTCGTCTCGAGATTGGTCGCCGCGACGTGCCATTCTTGCAACAAGGCCGGGATGGGCTGATGGTGCTCGAAGACAGTGGTGAATTGGAAAATGTCGTCCATGGCGATCGACTCGACAGCGATGGCTCCTTTTTGGTCCCAGGCCGCGCACAATCTCCACCCCGAATTGAAACCCTCTCGAAAGACCGGTGCGAGGACCTCGAAGCCTCGGAGTTCGG